AAAATAGGACCAAAGCTGAATACTAGACTTCTACCACCACCTCCCTCCAAAAACTACACCCTCCCTCAATCATCCTCTCTCAGGCCAAACCGTGGAGTCATTCTTGAATTCTTTTTTTTTCTCATACCAACACCCCATTGGTCAGCAAATCCTGCATCATCTCTGCCTAATTGGGCCTCTTCTCACCATCTCCATGGCCCTCACCTTGGTCCAAGCCACCACATACCCCTCGGCATTCACCTCCTACTTGAGCTCCTCACCTCCGATCTGTCCCTAAAATCAGAATGATCCTTTAAAACTGTGAGTCAGATCATGTGCTCACCTGCTCAGAACCTCCCAGTGGTTTCCTGTGTCACTCAGAATAAAATCCAAAGTCTCTCCCACCGCCTAGAGGAATGCCATGTCATCTGAGCCTCCCCTCCTCTGGTCTCAACACCGCCCATTACACCCCCACTGCGCACCACCCACCATGTTCAGTGGCTCCAGCCACACCGCCTGGCTCCTCTTCCTTGAACGAGCCGAGCACCATTCTCCCCTCCTGCCCCAGATGTGTCTGCTCTACCATCCTCTCCGATGCCCACTTGACTTTCTCCCTCACTTCAAATGTCATCTCCTCAGGCGGGCCTCCATGGCATAGATATTTTGACCTCTTATGTCAGGGGGTCCTAGCTAGACACAGACAGAATGAACACTCAGCTACAATCTGTGAAAAGATCTTTCCATGAAGGCACCGTTCGCAGGGGAAAGCAAGAAGGCGTTTGGAGGACTAGCAACACTGGGAGGCTGGCACCACCCTTCGTTACCCTAGTCCTGGAGGAACAAGGCGAGGACATGGTATTACCAGAGCCCATCTGAGAGCTGGAACCACGGGTGTGCTGGTGCTTGATGGAGCTGTGGCTGTGGGAACGGTGACAGTGCAGGAAGAACAAATGCCCACCTTCTTCCCGCCCACGGGTCTGCTGCTGGTGCACCCTTTTGGCCAAATCCAACCGGGAGTCAGCGAGCAAGGGAGCCCTGGTGATACAGTCCATGGAGTTCAGGCACAAGAGAACAGGGCAGAGAAGGGCAGAGAACAGATCTGGGGCTAAGGGACATTATGCAGCACGCCACCATTCTGGTTCCTCTCCTTCCAGGTACCAGGCAGGAACTCGAATTCCCTGTCCCCACCCTTGATGTCAGTACAGCATGCAACTTGCTTCAGCCAATGTCACTTCCAGACATACGTCATCACATTCCCCTTCCACCTGCTATAATGACCAGTGACAGTGAGAGGACAAAGACTCAGCCAGCCTGGGTCCCAAACTGATAAAGATGTGGAGTAGAATCCCCTGTTGTCCTCGAGAGGACATGTCACATGAGCAAACACATAAGCCCCTGAGATTTGGGAGTAGTGTGTCACTGTAGCTTCACCTAGTTTATCCTGACCAATCCCTTCCTCTGCCAAAATAGCAACCTCCCTCATCCTCACCCTTATACCTTACTGTCCCTTATTTTCTTCATCAGACTTATCACCACCTGATAAACTTCAGTGTTTGCTCATTGTCTGTCTCCTTCCTCTGAAATGTAAACCATGGGGGCAGGATTTTATTTAGTTCACCACTAATTCTTGGCACCTAGAAAAGCCCTGGGTTCATAGCAGATGCTACAATTCTTGAATGAACAGACAAATTAATTAATGAGCTCAGGGTGACCAACATGTGTTAAGGATGTCCTAGGCAATGCTAAGGAAGTAAAAGATTAAACAAATCATTAAGGTCATCCAGCTTAAGCTATGGAGTGAGTCGTGAAGGCATTTTGACTTCAGAGCCCAAGCACTTGACCACTCTGTCATTCAGCTTTCCAGTACAAAGGGGCCTTGTTGGGGGGAGTTCAGGAGAGGCCATTCAGGGCACAGGCCAGAGGTTGAAGAGAGCCGGGGCAGCCCACTCCCAGGAAGTATTGGTTATGGCTGGAGCCAAGAGTGACAACCAATAAACTATATGGGGTAACAGGGAAAATTAAAAACTTTGACTATGTAAAAATAATGCTAATTACAGTCATTTACGTGACTTGCTTACCATGTCTGCCTAATTACCAGGCAGCAGAACAATTATGTAGATCTTTAACTAATGTCAGCCTAACTTTGATTGTAACCACAAGGGCTAAAAACAAGAGCTTGGTCCAACAATGAGTTGGTTGCTCACAGAGACTGGTTCTCTGCCCAGAATTTAAAATTAGAGAGGAGCTACCTTGTTGAAATTATTAGTAATCTTCCAGGTACAAGGGTTTCATCTGGACTAGGAGGTCCTTGAAGCAGGTGCTATCTAAGTTTTCCTGGTATCATTATGCCCTCCCCACCCGGAGCCCAGGTCAGCCCTGAGTAGAGGGGGGGCCCCTGGGCCAGTGTTTATCTGTGGGTGGTCTCCAGGTGGTCCTGACTCATGTGCCTCTAAGTCTCCTCTTGTTGCCTGGAGGCTCAAGATACAAGATTTGCTGAAAGGTGGCACGTCTATACCTGTGGACAGTGGCAAGAACCTTTCCTGGAGCCCTGGAACAGGTCTGCAGAAGAGGTGGGATGAGGGTGGGGTAGAGTGTTTGGTGGCCCAGGACTAGCTAAGAAGAACCCTTGAAATGTTATAACAGAGAGTGGCAGCTGTTCCCCAAGTATCTATTCTCTCCTTCCAGTTAACAGAGTTTTAGCTGGGCACCTGGCAGCCAGCTGAGGCCATATTCCCAGGTTCCTTTGCAGCTAGGTATGGCCAGTGAGATGTCAGCAGAAGTGACGTATGCAAATTAAAGACCATGCACTGAAAAGAGAAGGTGTGGATCTCCCTTCCCTCTTTCCCCTCTTTCTTCTGGCTGGGGTACAAGCAGGATGGTGGAGCTCAGGCAAGCCTTCCTGGACCCATGATGGACTATAGGTGTTGAGATGCCAGGGCAGCAAAATCAGTGGGGCCTGGAGGTCAGAACTGTGGGGCTGCAGTATGACACCATCACAGAGCATTGCCACCATGCACATGCAATAGACATAAATCACTGTAAGAGCACAGAAAATAGTAAAATGTACAAAAAAATTAACAGTAGAGGAAGTAGAAAATTTTACATATTCATTACCTTTGTTTTTAATATAGTTTTTTCTCTTTTAAGTTCAGATGATTTAATTATTAAACGTTTAACAACCAGCTCTCAAGATTTCTGAAAATTTGTACAAGCTCCAGCTTCCGGTCTTTGTTACACTAGCAAAACCTGCATCCTAACTAGTATAGAGGTGATGCAGGAAGTGGGGGGCGGGTTGAGGTCATGTTCTCAGGGGTATATAACTCAGCCCGTGGATGACGCAGGGTTACCTGGAAATGAGGCTGCTCCAGGGATAACAATTCTAAAGCTTCTATTAGTTATTATTTTGAAACAAAAACAAAAATCCTTCCTGCAGCCTAACTCCAACCTAAACACACCCACGTCGGTGAAGGGCTGCTGTTCGAGATGACTGCGAAGGCCCTTCCTGCTCCAAAGTCCAGTGCTCCTTCATGGTCCGACTGGGCCTTTCTGCCTCTTTCCCACCTGCCTCTCTTGGGACCTCCCCTCACCAGCTTAAAGGCAGAGAGACCATCTCTCTGGAGAGAGGCATAGCCCCTGACCTAACCTCTCATTTACAAAACACAGGTGAAAGGCAGGTAAGCCATCATTCAATAAATGGGCACAGGATAAGTGAAATAAAACGTATCTCAGAGGAATGTGTTTAGTAGAGTCCCACTTTGTTAACGGAAAGAAAGAGAGGAGGGCAGGAAGAGAACAAGGAAGGAAGGAAGGAAGGGAGGAAGGAAGGAAGGAAGGAAGGAAGGAAGGAAGGGAGGGAGGGAGGGAGGGAGGGAGGGAAAGAGGGAGGAAGGAAAGAAGGAAAGAAGAAAGGCCGGCTGTATATATGCTTGTCTGAGCCAAGAAAGCTTTGTGGAAGGACACCCACCAATTATCAGGGTTACCTTGGGAGATAGTACAGGAGAGAGAAGGGTAACTTTCCTTTACATGCATCTGTATTATCTAAACTTACTGCAGCAAGGATTATTGTTACTTGTGTTATTTAAAAAACACTAGAGAAGCGGTGTGAAATATTACACAGCAGTTAAAATGAATGAACTAGGGCTATATGATATCAACATGGATAAATCTCAAATGGTAGTTTTGAGCAAAAGAAAGAAGTTAAGGGTCAATGCAGACGTCAGAAAAACAATTATGTAGAGTTTTAAAACATAAAAGATTATATATTGCTTATGGATGTATAGTAATAGTGCATGAGAATATCCGTGGCAACTGCAAACCCAAATTCACATTAGCAGTTACTTCTGAAGAAGGAAGGGAATGAGAACTAAAGGAATGTACAGGTTTTATCCGTTGGTCTGCATTGCATTTGTGTATGTGCATGCGTGTTCGTTTGAAGCAATATGGCAAATGTTAAGATTCGAGAAAGTTAGGTCATAGATACTCAAATGTTCATTATAAAAACCTTTCTACTGGGGCCGAGTGGCACATTGGTTAAGAGTTAGCTTGGGATGCCAGCTCTAAGCAGCAGGGCCCCAGTTCAGATCCCACATGAGGGCCAGTGACACTTGTCCTCTACAGCTAAGATGGTGAACAACAGCTCAAACTGGAGCTGGACTGCCATGAGTCACCAGCGACGGCGTAAGCTGCAGTGAGCTGCCGTGAGCAGCCGTCCAATGGCCAGTGAGCAACTGCCTCACCTGGGAAGAGCGCAATGATAATACCAACATGGGCCATTGAAGCGACGTCCTCCACAAATAGACTAAAGAACAAAAGGACAGCAACTTGTCTGTTCCCCTTCCCCGGTTCCCCAATGCTGTTCCACTCCCCCAACTCCCCAATAAAATCTTTTAAAAAAAAACACCTTTCTATTAGTATGCTCGAAATATTCCATAATAAAAATTACCTTAATTTTTAAATTAACAAATGTATTCACTAAGAGACATTCAATCATAAAAAAGAGAACACGCGCATATCACACATACCTTCCTTTAAGTATCCCCAGCGCCTGTCCCCGTTTCAGCCTCTCTTGAGCCCGTGTGTGTACAGATGCTCTGCTCGACTCTAGGAATACAAAAGGGTCACTCAGATTCAGCCCGGTTTTTTGGGGGGGTTTTTTTGTTTTTTGGGGTTTTTTTTGGCGACTCTGGTGCAGCCCGTTTTTAAGAATCTTACACCACAGAGGAGAGACAGGTGGATAACAAACTATAATTCACCAGGTTTGCTCTGTGGTACAGACACGTTGCCCTGGCAGTGCCTCTTCTGCTGATAGAGAAGGTGACAAACAGGCGTGAAGCAGCAGATAGGGGACAAAGCAGACTTGTGCAAATCTCCCAGCTCCATGGCTCACAGACATCGGGCCTTCAGTAAACGACGAAACTTCTCTAAGTCCTTTTCCTCGTCTGTAAACTCTTCACAGAGCTGTAAGTACAGGCACATCTCTGAGATATTACAGGCTCAGTTCCAGACCGCTGTAATAAAGCGAGTATCGCAATAAAGCGAGTCATAATCTTTTGCTGGGGGAGGGTCTTGCCTTCCATTTGTAAAACTCGCAACACCTGTGAAGTGTACTAAAGCATGCAATAAAACGAGGTGTGCGTGTAGTCCATGAGATCATCTAATTGAAAGCACCTGGTACCGTGACGCGGCAGAGTGCCCAATAGCTATGAGAACACATGTGGAAACTGAGGATCAAGAAAGCTGAATCATTGAGCCAAGTTCAAACCGGACTGGGTGACAAATCCAGGATTGCAGCCAGCTGTGTGCTCCCCAAGGTACACTGAACACAGTAAGAATCTTGAGTTTTCTGGGTGCTCAATAAACGCCCGTTGAATTGAGACTAAATTTCCAGTTAGAAGTCAACCGTTTCATTGTAGAATCATTTAAAGCTAAATAAAAGAAACCTAAAAGAATAAATCATTTAACTGGAACAGTTAGAAAGGCCAAGACAGAGGAGTCTCCGAGATCTCACAGCAGGGTGGGGCCAGCCTCCGGGTCTCCCAGCCACCATCACACCTCAGCTCCCAGGTTCAGAGGTGCATTTCGGCTCTCTCCTGCACAGCAGTGTCCCTCTCCTAGCCGGTGACACTGGCGCTCAGACCTCACTCATCAACCTGTCCTCCCTGGGCTTTCAAGGCACCACTGGCACCTGGTTCTCCCCCTGCTTCACTCTCAGCGTTCTCTAGCCTCCTGCCTGGGCAGCTCCTTCTCTACCCAGGTGGCATTTTGTGTGGCTTTGGGGAACGCTGGGCTTCCTCGTGCCTCTGGAAAGCTAGGTCATACCAGGGTGGAGACCTGGACTCAATACCTGGACGAGTCAGCTTCACTCACCAGAATAAAAACGGCTCCAGTGGTAACAGTAGGACATTCGCTGTGTGTCACATGGTATTCTTTCCTTACATCTTTTCACTGAATCTTCTGATAGTATGAGATAGGCTTGATTATTATTTTTATGTCACAGACTAGAAAACTACCACCAAGAAAAGATAGAGAACTGGTCCAAGGTCACACACAGAGTAAGTAGTAGAGCCAGGATTTGAATTCCTGAGCCCAAGACTTACCCACTGTGAGATGCTGTGTCTTTGGAACAGGATGTAGAGTATATCCACTGGTCTGCATCCTCTCAGCAGTAGTGACAGTCCTCAGTTTGACATGAACCTACAAGATGGGGAAATAAATCTGTACACATATTCACCTTCTTGCATTAACATTCAAGTTTGAATTGTCTGTGGTCCGCTCCCTGTGCAGTTGAGTCGAGGGCCTACAATCATCTTCCCAGCCCCTTCCTGTTTACATTTGAAAATCAATCAACTGCTTCTATGTTGTTCCGTGTGCCATTGATCATATTGAGCTTTCTCCCCGCTTTTTTTTTTCCTGGGTATTTCTCTCCACAGTCTCAAACACCCCTTTAAAGTCTTCGAGGTGAGTTCGGCAAGTACCCAGACCAAAACCCCACGCTTCCTGGGTTATCACTCCATCCCTGGACAGCCCATCACTCTAGTGTGTCAAGTCCATCCATCACATGCTTTGAAACCCTCCCCAAAGCCAGCTGCTCACGTCCCACTGCCTCCTGTCACTTCCAAAGTCAACCTTCAACAGGAAGGAGGGATGAAAACACATCATGAGCCCTCAAGTCCTTCTATTTCCTATGAAAAATGTCAAAGTCTGTGGAGACACATTCAAGGTTTGTTTTTTCCACCGTCTAGATTATTTTTCCTGTGTGAATCAGCATAAGTGGGCAGTCATGGGAGACCTGAACAAGCCTGCTAAACCCTGTCACATCCTGAATTTAAAGAGAAGATGGAAATGAGAGTGTTTTGTAAGTGGGAGAGCACTAGTCAGATGTTAGATGGTGGCAGTTCTCTGAAATGAGCCATCCAGGAGGACAGTGGCATCTCTCATTTTTTTGGTCCTGTCTGATTAGACATAGTTAACTTTACACCTTAAGAGGAGGAGTCACGGGCCGGCCGAGTGGCGCGATGGTTAAGAATTCGCTTGGGACACCAGAGGGCCCCGGTTCGGATCCCACATATGAGG